GAAGATTTGAAAATAGCTAAAAAGCCTCCTCCACGGCCACATTGTCTTGGAGAGTTTATGAATGAACATGCAGGGGGGAGAGTCTCCGCTAGAGCAGCTGACTCAACCGGGGCGATCCAGGATTCCACGACGCAGAGACAGTCCAGCGCTCGATCACGGAAAAGATCTCTTAGTATAAAAGCTTTATTTCTGATGGATCTTGCATTTATAAGAGCAAAGCTGATGGAGGTCTTGCCTTGATGTACATTCCGAGCCGTGGAGCAGACTGCCGATGACGTCGGTACTAGGAAAAGGTTGGCTGGGCAAATTCCTCGACAGCACAGCACCATTGGCACAGCTGTGGGCCCGCCGGATCCCCGGGCAACTCCAACGGGATCAGACATGGAACTGCCAGATCCAGGGATCGCCAAGAGTAACATAGACTGGGCCCCACGCCGACAGAAATCCTGAAGGAGGCAGGTGAGCAGGCCAAAAAACCTCTAAGCCTCACCAGTCGCCCGGCTCGACTGCCGCGACGGCGACGTTTCCAACCACGGAAGCGACACAGCATCCGACACAGGTAGAGAGGAAGTCCAGGAAGCAGCGGGCAAGAGGTATGATGGAAATCCTTCACGGCAGGTGGAGAAAGGCACATTGCCAACCGTATGTCCGGAAGAGTAGAGCGATCATACTTAATGATTGCAATTATGGGGGAATGAAAGTTGAGAAATATCACCAAAAACAATAGAAGGAGACTGCGAGGTGGACGGCCAACCAAAAACACTGGCGTCATTTTGCTCAGAAGATGGCGCCATGGAAGATGGTTTCTGAAAACAACAGCTAGGCCTCCACCACGACCAGAACTCCGGGGCTGGCTAAGAAAAGAATAACCACTCGGGCAGAGTTCAATCAGACCAGAATAATCAGATGTTTGCTGCCAAATTTCAGTCAGAAACAGAAAATCCAGGTTTTTAGAGAGAATTAGATCATTGAGCAGGAAGGACTTATTGTTAACAGAGCGGGTATTTAATAGAGCCATGCTGAGTGAGGTGGAGGAATCAGAAACTACAGAAACAGCTGGAGTTAGTGGACGTAAATTAGCAGGGTTTGATCCACGGTGTTTATAAAAACCACTTATGGAGGGAACAAGAGGAGAAACCACTGAGGAATGAAGATAAACTGACCTTAAAAAACTTGGACGGAGAAACCGCGCCGCAATGTGGAAGTGGGGCTCAAGTCGCCAAACAAAGGACAAGAAGCTAGAAGATCACGCCGATGTTTACTAGATAAACCACTCTTTAAGAGAAGTCTTATTCTCACCTGGATTCCTGCTCGTTTACCTCTTTTCCTCCAACGTTTTACCGGGACCGGATAAACATCGCTGGAGGCGTCCTGGTTGGGATTGTCGTTTGGCTCCGGGCCAGTGTGCCACTCAGATAAACAAACAGGGAGGTACGTCCTTGGTGCATCTTGGGTGATCGTGAACGAACGGAAGGACAAAAGAGTCTGGCAATCATAGGAGATGGTAGCAGGGACACTACTGAAGAGGATCACAGACAGGAGCAAGGTGGAAAAGAGGAGGTTAGTGGAGAAAAGTTTGAAAAAGTGGCCGGTGACTGTGGCCAAGTCAAGCACAGGCACCATCTTACTACAATATATATATAGAGAGAGATCTCTCTCTCTCTCTCTCTCTCTCTCTCTCTCTCTCTCTCTCTCTCTCTCTATATATATATATATATATATATATATATATATATATATATGTATATATATATATATTAGGGGTGGGCCGTTATCGGCGTTAACGCGCTGCGGCAAAGCCAGACTCTTATCGCACGATTAAAAAAATGACGCCGTTAATCTATTCTCAAAGTTGGGTTGGGATCTGGGTCTATACTAAGTAAGCTATGATGACTTTCACATTGCCCGGATGGATACCTGGTTGGCGCGGATGTATACTCGGCGCGGATCATTGTACGTATGGACGGACGCCAGGCTCGCGGATTTTAATGTTCCCTATGCAGCCGAACAGTTGCACCTTCGCCACCAGCAGCGCTTCTCCCTTCTCATCGCGCGGGACAAGTAAATAATTTATGTACTTTCACCAGAGTTTAATCCATAAATCTGACTTTCATTCTTTTTATTTTGTTTTGTTGACCTCCGACATTTCCAGCCGGGCTTTCCCCGGGCCACACTTCACCGTCCGCGGCCGAAGCAGTGCTCGGATGTGAGAAAACCGAGACAAGACTTTCTCAGACAGGTGCGGTTTCCAACTAAGTGTTGGGGTTATTAGGTAGCGAGTAATTAGTAAGTTTTAACTTACTTTTGGATTCTTCAATAAATTCTGTAAATATGGGAATATTTACTGATGTATTAATTAATTAAGATACTCTTTGGGTATCCCGGGGCACCATCCCCTTCAACCGGGGAAAAATTGAATCCAAAACTCTTATCAGTCTTTCTTGAAGTTCGTAGAATCCTAGGAGCAGAGACTTCGCGTCGACACAACAAATCTACTGGAGGCAAAAATCTGAATTTTATAACATTTAATTAAACAATTTATTCAATTGAATGAACAATGAAATAAATGAATAATAACCATGTGATATAATTGAAGATGTATATTCAAAATTATGTTCAAGGTGTTTTGTGTGTGATGGAGGATGTATGAATGGGGTCCTTTGTTCTCACAAAGGAGTGGTGTGTGTGAGTGTGTATGAATTCAAAATGGAGTCTTGAATACAAGATGGCTGACCCCTTTGTCTGGCTAAAGTGTGGGTGGCAACTTGCTCTTTAACTTCTAAAGCACTTAGAATCAGAAGTAACTTAACCTTAAAATCACTCAAAACATTTCAAAGGATCATGAAGCTTCACCAAAGATTAATCACAATTAATATCTTTTAGTTTAACCGCTTGGCCATAGCATAAACCATTTTAAGATGCCAAACAATGATCAATAAGCAGTTTATTCTTTCAAAAATGACCCGACGGACGTATTTGGGAACGAAAAGAGAAAACACGTCTGATAATTTGAAGCAAGTCACGCGGTCGACTGCTTATCTTGGTCTAGAAGAGACGAGAAAAGGTAAAAGTTTAAATGAAATAAAACTTGCAGGAGCAAAACCTCTCTGAGCGAAGGCAAGGCATCCCTTGTGTTCGCTGGTCAGATGTGATTTACGCTTCTCCGTTGTTTCTCCGCACGAGTGTTTCTCCAACGGGCTGGACACAAAGAGAGCAAAGTTTCTTTTGTGCAGTTTGTAACTTACAGCGTGAGCTGGATGGAGCTGGAGTTGAGCAGAAAAGAGCAGATTTTGGGTTTCCAAACCCAGCTTTTTCAGCAGTTCGGTATCTGATCCGCTCACGTTGATTAGAGCGTGCGATGAGCGTCCTTACAGCCAGTGATACTGGACAAAGAACAGTTAAGTTTCGTTTTCGTCTCCCTTTTATAGAGTCTGGCAGTTTCCGGGCTGAGACTGTTGTGAACCCGTGCTCCGCCTTGGTGGTGACGTCATCACATTGCTTCCGTGTGCAAAGCATCATGGGAAATGAAGTGTCTTGGCGCTGATGTGATTATTTGCTTTTTCAGAGCAATTTAGCACAGTCTTTTTGGAGAAAATCACTGGACAGTAATTTCCTCATGAAGTCAGACCCTCAACATAAGTTTAGCTCTTTTAGCAGCTGTTTATTGTGATAAAGTGATAAATTGTTTCTACAGGTCGTTGTTCATGTGGCTTCGACTCAAATTCACCTGTAATAATAAACGTTTTACTCATACATTTTTTTATTTGTTTAGAAAAGTTGAGCTAGGATAACTCCCCTTGCCGTTTTCAGAGACAACAACAGCAACAGTTGGCTTCTGCTCATACAGGTGAGCTGTGGCATCATTTCCAGCTCTCGCTCCTATTCACCAGAGGCGGTCCTACATGCAAACTAAAGGGGAGCATTGGAAGGGCACCCCAGAAATTTAACCCCCTCCCCAGGCCAGATAGTTTGTGTGTGTGTGTGTATATGTATGCATGTCTGTATGTATGTATGTGTGTGTGTATGTATATATATATATATATATATATATATATATATATATATATATATATATATATATATATATATATATATATATATATATATATATATACTTTTTTCTTTAGCAGGCCATATTGTGCAGAAGAGAAGATCTAGTTTGTCACCAGACAATGTGAACAAGCTGGTCTGCTTGAGTGACTGGTGGAAGAAGGAGAAATAGAGCTTGGACTGATTGACCAAATGCTACTGACTGTAAATAGTTAATCATGACCTATTCTGTAGACCTACAGTGCAGAATTTGTTGAACTGAATAAACAGCTATTAAACACAAATACTTATTCATCATTATTTATTTTCATCATCAGTTATTGTAGTAAAACTGCTTTCAGTCTGTGATGCATTATTGAAACAAGAAATACGCCTCCATTCTCAAAGACTTGCTTTTATTCATTATCTAGGTAGCACACACATATGCCTTTGGCAGAATTTGACTGAGCCATTTTAATCTAGATTAATTCCAAGATTATAGTGAGATTAATCTAGATTAAAAAATTAATCTATGCCCACCACTAATATATATATATATATATATATATATATATATATATATATATATATATAGAGAGAGAGAGAGAGAGAGAGAGAGAGAGAGAGAGAGAGAGAGAGAGAGAGAGAGAGAGAGAGAGAGAGAGAGAGAGAGAGAGAGAGAGAGAGATCTCAGTAGTGCGGCTGTTGTAACTGGTTCTGCTTCTGCTGCATTCAGTTTCACTTGACTTTCTCCACGCGGGTCGCGCTCTTGTCTTTCTGTTTTTTATTGGTGATGTTGGAGACATCTTTACGGTGGGTTAACCAGGTTTAATATTAAAACTGGTTAATCCCTGCAACCCTAGTCCTTTGATAATGTTTTTTTAAACATGTTGTATTCTTGTAAACAGGAAGTTACTGATGTCACCTCCAGCACCACCCCAGGCTCAGCTTTATCTGTTCTTTGTCTTCAGGCTCGTTCAACAGCAGCCTCCGCCCTCCTGAGACTCTGTTCAAAGTGATTTTCTGGTTGGGTTACTTCAACAGCTGCTTGAACCCGATCATCTACCCGTGTTACAGTCGAGAGTTCAAACAGGTAACAGGATACGTTGAGCGAAAGCTTGTTGACCCAAAGTCTTTCTCAACACCCTGCTGTGTGTCTGCAGGCCTTCATCAGAATCCTGCGCTGCCGATGGAAGAGGAAGAGTCAGGGCTGGCAGGCCTACTACAACTACCGCTGTCAGCAAGGATCAAACAACTCATCCTTCCTGAACGGCAGCCAGCAGACATTGTCCTCTGTCAGCCACAGCCCCTGTTATGTCTCCTCCAAGCTTCGCCCCCCCGCCCTGGCCCTCCTCAAACAGACACCCACCCCCCAGCTCAGCAGGGAGAGCATCTCTCACACAGGATGCTGGGATACCTCAGGTACAGCTGGCAGGGCGAGGAACGAACTGTGGGAGTGTAACCAGAAAAGAACGACTCTGACGTGACCTTTGAACTCAGCCTGAGACAATTGCAGGGGCTTCTTCTAAAAACACAATTAGGTGATTCGACTTTGTGTCACCTGGGACTGCAGCTTCTCACCTGCTAACATCATTCTGGTTCAGACTTTTATTCTGAAGGTTCCTGACAAACATCCAACAACGTTCATGTGAAATCCAGAAACATCTGATCTTCTGCTTCATTCTTCTCCACCAGGGAAGAAAAATCCTCATTTAATAAAAAGAGAACAGAGGTTTCATTCTTTACTGAAAACATTTGAAGGACATTTTTATTAAAAATGTAACCTTGGAGCAGCCAAAACCAAGAAATGTTTGTTTTAGTTGAGATTAAAAAAAGCTTAAAATAATATTCTAGACCGACTGATAAATTCAAACTACATTTCTCCAGAACCATAAGGTACTAGTTTAATTTAGTCATAGCTATGCCCGTTTTATTTATGTAGCCCTTTTTCACAAAACTAAACTGGTATTTGTGGATCTTTGTGTTTTTAAGATGTAATACAGATGATTGAAACTCTCTGGTTGTGATGTTTTTACTTGAAGCACTGTAATGATCATAGTAACTCACGTCTTGGAACTATTTCCCAACTTTAGTTTAAGGCTCGGCAATAGCTTTAATCACAGTGCCACCTGGTGGGCGTGTAAGAGTGCAAACGTTTTGTACCTTTCACATCTGGTGTGGCTGAGATACAATAAATGTTCATGTAATCAGTTAGAGGTTTTCATCATACCTGGAAAGTTACCACAGTTACAGTATACGCAGACGTCTCGTGTACTAGCTGACCGCCATTTTAGATGGGTCTCCAGTGTGTCCCCTAGGAATTTTTCCAGCTGTGGTGGTGGGCCGCCGGGGGGGGGGGGGGGGGGGGGGGGGGGGGCTTGGGGATAAATTATGACACGTCTCTAAATAAAGTAAAATTTTCTAGTGCAGAGAGGAGACAATCCATAGAAGCACTGATTTGATCTCATCTCAGAGAAAAATAGAACAGGTTAGATGCACCTAATAAATAAAATGACTATCAAACTCAGGAATCTGTTTCTTTGCTTCACTGTTCTGGTGCTGAGAATATCACTAATGTGGATCAAAGGAGATACACAGATGAATGCACCTCTTATTTATTATTTGGAAACTACATTTACTGCAGCTGGCAGAGGCAGAGATTTTTTCTATTGATATACGGAGTTTACAGAATCAGTTTAAATTTTAATAGGGGAAGACTGCAGGAGGGAGCGGAAAAAATACAGGGGGTCCCCAGCAAAAACAAGAAACTTTACGAGTCTGATGAAACCCGCTGGTTTCCCATTAGGCAGTCACGGGGCAGCTCCAACGACCCAGTGGCTGTGCTGGGTCAATGTTATCGAGCTCAGTCCGGCTCGGCCGTGAACGAGCTGAGGCGACGTCGTGCTTTGCTTAAGTGTTATTTTTCCCGCTTCAGAAGAAGCGTCCAACGTGTTTTTACGATTTCTCCGAGACATGTCACGTCGCTAAGTTGTTAGCGCCGTGCGCTAACACGTCAATAGTGCAGCGTAGCCTGCTGGAGGTTTTAAGGGTTAAGATGAAAACACCCGACCTCTCAGGCTGCTCACACATCTATCTTAAGTTGTCGCTGTTGCGCTCACATCGTAATACAGTATTAGAAGCGGTTAAAGTCAGACATGAAAAAAAAATAAATTTTACATAAATAAGTGATGCTTAGCCTGGTGGGGGGGAGGAAAATCTGGCCTAATAAGCACTGGAGGAAACCCTGTCAAGATCGTCAACACTCATTTATCTTAATGCTATTGAAACATGTAAACCAAAAAGCATTATATCCACTGCTACCTTTCTAATTTTAAACTCAGTAACTTATGCTGTAGCTTCACCTTGCCCTGCCTGCCGGCTGTGATCACAAGCGACAACATAGCAGTTCCCACTGCTTCTTTGGGAAACAGCGCCTAAATAAAACTTGGGATCTTGTAGGCATGGCGGTGGGATTTCAGCCGTGGCGGGCCGCCACGGCTACACCTATGTAAGGGAAACACTGGTCTCCATTCGCACCCAGTGCATTTATTTCTGCTGAGGAAGGTGCTTCCCCAAATAAAAATAATTTAATCAAGCTTGCTCAGAAAACCACACCATACATGGCATGATACAAAAATAAAATAAAATAAATAATTGCTAGAGAAGTCACTAGTAATTCCACGTCATTAGTTTTCCAAATGTACGCCGGTTGTAATGGTGGGCTGCAGAATTTGAGTGAGGAGACTCATCCAACATGGCGGCAATGCCTCCAGCACTCCACCGACTTCCCAAATTGAAACATTAGGGCAGCAGTCACAAGCTAACGGATATATGTAAAGGACACGGTCCGTAAGTTATTCATACATTTAGGATGCGGGCTTAACACTTGCTGAACTTTGTCCGTCAAATTGTTCTGTTGTGAATGAGCCCAGACTGTCGGGTCGAGGTGGGGGCCTATTGACTATGTACTCATCCTCTCTCCCCCTCAAGCACCTCCTGGGCTCATCACCCCCCACCAGCTTCGAGGTCTCTGTTTTTGAACTCAGTCTCTCCCCTCCAATTCTTTTTATTCTGTGTTACCGACCACCAAAATATAACTCCGCTTTTATTACGGACTTTTCTGACCTTTTAGCTGAATATCTCCCCAGGTACGACCAAGGTATTATCCTTGGTGATTTTAATATTCACGTTTGTTGTCCGTCGAATCCTCTGGTGAGAGATTTCTCAGATGTTCTGGGTTCATTTGGCCTCCAGCAACTGGTCAATGTTCAGACTCATGATCACTCTCACACACTGGATTTAGTTTTATCATTTGGACTGAAGGTGCAGGACTTGGTTGTTCATCCTGTCAGTTTCTCAGATCATTTTTCAGTTGTTTTGAACATCTCTGCCATGTTGCCTGTGGTGAGAAGGCAGGCTCCTCGCTACTCAAGGCACATCTCTCCCTCCACAACTGCCTCACTATTGTCCATCCTGGAGGTTGAATTTTCCAATCCTTCCTCATCTGGGATCACCACAGATGTGGATGGGCTTTTAAATTCTTTTAATTTGATTTGTTCTGTTGCCCTGGACTCAGTCGCTCCCCTTAAACTTAAACGGAAGAAAACCACCTCTGATCCTTGGCTGAACAAGGAAACACGCAGCCTCAGGCGGCGCTGTAGGGCACTGGAAAGAAGGTGGAAAAAGGACAAGCTACTAATCTCACATCAGCTTCTGATGGATGCCCTTGACCTGTATCAGAGAAGTGTTAGATCTGCCAGGAACAAATACTTTGCATGCATAATCTCTCAGCATCAGGGTGATCAGCATAAACTTTTTAGCACTGTCAACTCCATCTTGTCAATAACTGAACCTGGTAGTGTTGATCCCTCTGTGTCATTGTGTGCTGAGCTCCAGACCTTCTTTCTTAACAAAGTCCGGGACATTAGGGATAGTCTTGTGCAACCAGGATCTGACTGTCCTGATGTACCACCAGCACCTCCCTCATTCTGTGATTTTACTTCCATATCTCCTAGTGAATTGTCAGATCTGATTGAAAATATGAAACCAGCAGGTTCTCCCGAGGACCCTCTCCCCCCGAAGATGGTGGGCGAGATCATCCCTATTTTGGGCCCCACAATTCTAGACATTTTCAACTCTAGCTGGGGTGTTTCCTACTTCTTTTAAAAAGGCGGTTGTGCAACCAATTTAAAAAAAAACCTGGTTTAGATGGCTCAAACCTTGCAAACTTTCGGCCAATCTCCAAATTACCGTTTTTGTCTAAGGTCCTTGAAAAGATTGTCTATTCACAGATTACAGCACACATGAATAGCTTTTCTCTGGATGACGTGTTCCACTTCACAGTACCGAATCAGCCCTTCTTCGCGTGACCAATGACATCCTGGTGGCTTCTGACTCTGGGTCGCCTGTTTTGCTCCTACTATTAGATCTTTCTGCAGCATTTGATTCCGTTGACCACGATATTTTGCTGGATAGACTTGAGTCATGGGTAGGGCTAAGGGGTACCTCACTTCAGTGGTTCTGCTCATATCTGTCAAACAGAGTTTTCAAGGTCCAGTTGGGTAATTGTTCCTCTGCATTCCTCCCACTTCCATGGGGAGTCCCGCAGGGATCTGTGCTTGGGCCCCTCCTGTTTTCAATTTACATCCTCCCCCTGGGTTTCATCCTGAGGAAATATGGCCTGGGCTATCATATTTATGCAGATGATTGCCAGATCTACCTGGCTTTGAAAAAAACAGACTCCATCTCTCTTCTGGACCAATGTTTGGCTGAAGTGAGGGTTTGGCTTGCCAATAATTTCCTTAAGCTAAATGATTCTAAGTCTGAGGCACTCCTGATGACCCCTAACAAAACAACACAAGTATCTTCTGATTTGGCCACTCTCCCTTTTGACCTCAAGCAGTGTGTTACCAACCTTGGGGTGAAAATTGATACACAGTTTTCCATGGGCCCTCAGATTAACGCAGTGGTCAGATTGTGTTTTTATCAGCTGCGCAGACTAGTCCGCTTAAAACCGATCCTGAAACGAGCACACCTGGAATCCGTAATCCATGCTTTTATCATCTCTCGACTGGATTATGCAAATTCCATTTTAATTGGTTTACCTGCCTCCGCTCTTAACTGGCTTCAAGTCGTACAAAACGCGGCAGCCAGGTTTTTAACAAACACTCCTAGGAGAGAACATATCACACCTGTACTGGCGCGGCTCCACTGGCTACCCGTAAACTTTAGGGTCAAGTTTAAAATCCTGACTTTTGTTTTTAAGGCCCTGAACGGTCTGGCACCGGATTACCTGTCGGATCTTGTCACTAGGTATGTGTCAAACCGGGCGTTGAGGTCTGCTGATTGCCTGCTGCTTTGTGTTCCATTAATGAAATACAAAACGCGGGGGCAGCGTGCTTTTGTCTATGCTGCTCCAACAATATGGAATGCACTTCCTCTTTCAGTGAGGCTGGCACCATCCCTCCTCCGGTTCAAATCGCTGCTGAAGACTCACTTTTACGACCAGGCATTTTTAAATCCCTGACTTTTATTATTGTATTATGTGTCTTCTTATTGACTGTAATTATCTGCCTTGTTGTGCATTTTATTGTTGACTGTGTATTGTTTTATATTGTGTTTTTACTTTTTATTCTGTACAGCACTTTGGTCGGCTGCCATGCCGTTTTTAAATGTGCTTTATAAATAAAGATGGTATGGTATGGTATGGTAACACTCTTAGAAGGTTGGTGGCCCTTTAAAGAGCTGTTGGGATGCTGCGCAGGGAGTCTAGCGGATGCGACAGGCCAGCTGGATGTCTTTGGGCATGATGGTGACCCTCTTGGCATGGATGGCGCACAGGTTGGTGTCCTCGAAGAGACCGACCGGGTACGCCTCGCTGGCCTCCTGCAAGGTCATGACAGCGGAACTCTGGAAGCGCAGATCAGTCTTGAAGTCCTGAGCGATCTCACGGACCAACCGCTGGAAGGGCAGCTTCCGGATGAGCAGCTCGGTGGACTTCTGGTAACGACGGATCT